ACTTGGCAGGACTTACTAATTGATTGATACAGAGAATTAAGGAAAGAGAATTGCTAAGTACGCGTTTCAAGATTCTAGTTCTGTGCAGCTGGGCAGATGATGCTTCTGATTTATTCAGGAAGCAAGAAAAAAAAGATGAAATGTTTTGTGGTTAGAAGAGGAAGAAATCTGTTTTGAGCTTAGGGCTGTGACATGGTAGGGAGCTTGTCTGCATCAATGAGACCTTGGCTTCAATCCCCATCACCACATAAGCTGGATGTGTGTCTCCAGCCTGTTACCCAGGCACTTGGCAGGTAAAGGTAGGGCAATCAGAAAGTCCATATCATCTTTGACTACATTCAATCCTGCCACAGAATAAAGTACGATACGAATAATGAAATCCATCCTGAGCATATTGAATAGAGATTATTTATGGAATTGGCCACCAGGGGAGTTTACAAGTACTTAGGTGTTAGGACTGAATCTTCGGAAAAAGGTTTGTGAGGGGACAGTTCCTGAGAGTCCAGCGGCCACCAGTAGCAGAGGTGATTTCTGTCCACAGGAGTCTGATGGGGTCGTTGCAAGTGGGAAGAAATGTACTTAGTGGTTATCTCTCTTGGGACCACGGAGGCACCCATGAAAGGAAACGCTGGCATGTGTTTCCCCCAATTAAGGTAGAAGGCATCGCCCGGAGAAGTGTATAGAATTTCAGGGTCCTGGAGAACCTTAGCACGCAAGTGTTGCACACAGGGAACAGCATTGGAAGGACTCCACTGCATTGCTGGAGAAGAGGAAGAAAACTAGAACACTGTGGAAACCTAGCCAGGGAAGTGATTTGAGCAGGGTGGAGGCAAGGCGGGCGCAGTCAAAAGGCTCTACGAGACAAGCAGAGGGCAGCAGCCTGCAGATTGTACAGGTCCAGGTGGCCATGACCTTTGATGCAGAATGTCTGGTGGAGGGCAGAAGTAGAGAGAGAGAGAGAGAGAGAGAGAGAGAGAGAGAGAGAGATGAAGCAGAAAGAACAAGCAGACACTTTCTTAGGAAGCTGGCCTTGAGGGGGTGTTGAGAGAAACATGGTGGAAGATGCAATAGACTTGGGACCTAGACACTGCCTTTCATTCAAAGGAACTCAGTCTTCTAGAGGAGATAGAGCCAAGCATACAGGCATGCATTCATACTCGAAGGACTCACTGGCCACAGAAGCACTAAACATACAACCTGCCAGCCAGGCCACAGGAGGCTTCTTGGAGGAGGAATTATCAGATAGGTCTATCTAGATGACTGAGTCTATCAGACAAAGGAGACTGAGGGATGAGGAGAAAGCTTGGTCGGTATGGTGTTTAATAACCTGAAAGCCATACCCAAAACCCAGGTTAAAAAAAAAAAAAAAAAGCTAGGCTTGATGCTGCCATCTTGTAGTCCCCCTTGCTGGGGAGGTAGAGGCAGACAGATTCCTGGGAAATGCTGGGCAGCTAAGCCTATCTTATTTGGTAGATCTGAGGCCAGTGAGAGACCCTACTTCAAACTAACTGACTAGCTAACTAACTAACTAACTGACTGACTGACTCAATAAATAAATGAATAAGTAAATGAATGAATAAACAAACAAACAAATAAATAAAAGGATGGTTCCTAAAAAATGACAGCAAAGATTGTCCTCTGGCTTGCACATACACAGACATATTGTATATGTGAACACGTGAATACATACACAAACCTACATGCATAAAAAAAGAAGGGGTTTAAAGAAGGCCAAGCTGTGGTTGGGAGGAGCAGCCTAACAGAACTCTCAGGACTACAGAGTAGAGCATGCTAGGTCCCATCCTGCTGAGTAAGGGAATGGATGCTTTCGAAAGTTTGACATGGAATTACAGTAAGAGAGAAGTGTTCATCAGGTAGGACCTTTCATGTAATGGGTGCTTTAAGCTTTAAGGGGTGAGAGAAAGCCAGAAGTTGGCCAGGCACTTGGTGATTAATGGGGCAGAGAAAGGAGAGCTGGAAACAGGTCTGGAAGTAGAAGGCAGCAGGGATGGCTCTTCCAGAGGTTTGACAAGGGAGGAGTTCATTGCCCGAGTAAGGTGTGCGTGGGAGAGTGAAGAGGGTCCTTCCCAAAGCTCCCCTTTCCACTGTGAAGTAAAGGCATGGTCATTTCCATCCCATCCATAGTGAGGTGCTCAGCACTCAGTGTGCTTATACACTGAGGTTGAGGGAATGACATCAAACTGACAGCACACTTGACCTGTTGGTCCTTAAAGTGGCCCGGCCAGAAAGCAAGATGGTGCAGCCAGCTTGCTGGTGAATAGTAACCCTACTTTATTAGTTTGGAAGCCTATCTGCCTGCCTGCCTCCTTCCCTCCCTCCCTTTCTTCCTCTCTCTGTCTTGTCTATTTGTCTGTTTGTCTGACTGTTCCTCCTCCTTATCTCTCTTATTTTTAGAGCTAGGGTCTCACTCTGTAGCCTAGACTGTCCTGGAACGCACAATAAAGCCCAGGCTGGCCTTTGACTCACAGCAATCTTTCTGCCATATTCTCCCAAATACTGAGACGATGGGCCTAAATCGCATCTTTTTGTTTGTTTCAGGGAGGCAAGCCAACCTGAGTCTCCCTGTCCTGGAGCAGGGTATCCAGGAAGACAGTTGTCAGGATAGCTCTGATCCTTAACACAATGTAAGACAGTGAATAGAATGAGGACAGGACGAGTTCTTTCCAGTAAGCATTGGGCGGGCAGAGTTTGGAAGGCGAGCAGATTAAATCAGTTTATCCTGCCTGTCTGGTTGGCTTGCTAACACATTTGCAGAGGTGGTTCAAGCTTCGTGCTTTGGAAAGAATCCACTGCTGAGATGTGTTTGGGCAGGTAATGTGTGAAGAGGCCAACCTCTCTTCTGATTCTGTGTGAGTCTGTCTTCTCAGGGCAGGAAGTCCTGCTAAATGAATGCCTAGTCACCGTAAGGGCTGCCTCGGGGGTTCAAGTGTCACTTACTGGGAGTTACCTGGTTCCTCTGAAGGCTCCCTCAGACCTTTAAAAAAAATTTTTTTTTTTAATGTGAATTGGTGTTTTGCCTGTGGGAAGGTGTCAGATCCCCTGGAACTGGAGCCAAAGACAGTTTTGAGCTGCCTTATGGGTGCTGGGAATTGAACCCCGGTCCTTTAGAACGACCTGTGGGCCATCTCTCCAGCCTCTCCCGCAGATCTGAACAGTGCTTCCTACCGAATGCATGAGTCACAGGGACTTACTGAACTGTATACCACTAACTTCTGATCTTTCACACGAATGCACACATACACACGTCCTCTGAGTGAGGAATTTGCTTAATTCTATTCTTCTCAATAGATACTAAAGACATCTGGTAGAGCACACTGGATTTTTTTGTTGTTGATGTAGGCGGTGGTAGTAGTAGTGTGTGTGTGTGTGTGTGTGTGTGTGTGTGTGTGTGTAGCTAGAGTCAACCTTACGTGGTTCCTCAGGAGCCATCCACCTTGGTATTTGGTGAAGGGGTCTCTACCTGGGGCCTAGAACTTGGCTGATTCGGCTGGCTGGCTGGCTAGTCCCCAGGGCTCTGCTTATCCAGACCCCACCCCCAATCACTGGGATTGCAAGTATGTCCTACCACGCCTTTTCAAATGTAGGCTCTGGCAGTCAGACTCACAGTCACTCACAAGGCAGACACTGTAACTGAGCCATCTCCCCAAGCCCAGGATAGATTTGTTTTAGAGCTGCCTAGAGCTGATAGCTTCTAAAGTTTGGATGCAAAGACTAAAGAAATGTTAGTATTTGGATCAAAGTAGAAAATGGGCTACAATCCGATAGAGACATCCACCGTAAGGATAGTACAGGGATCCTGGGCAGAATTTCATCTTACTGTCATTGTAGGCTCCTAGGATGCTCACAGCACAGTAAGAGTGAAGGAACCATGAGCAGGTAACCTCAGTTCAGTATGTAAAAGACTGTTTGTTGGATTTACTTATTGGAGATGGTAGGGGGGCGGATAGCCATGCTGTGCTATCTTTTAGTGTGTTTGGCAGTGAGTAAGCACATCTGTTAGCTGGCTTTAAACTTCACGTTATGTTACCGGAAAGTTAGTGTCTGATGACTGACATGCTGTCCATTTGGTGATAGTCATTGTCAAGTGTCAATAACATTGACCTATGTTGACATCATATTTTCTGTCAGGATCAGAAAGGATGTAGCCTTTGCTGTCCTGGACACACTTTGTAGACCAGGGTGGTCTTGAACTCACAGATCCACTTGCCTCTGCCTCCCTGAGTGCTGGGATTACAGGTGTGTGCCACCATGCCTGGTAGGGTGAATTATTTTATATGCACTATTCCATCATTTTACGAGGTAGCTTATCCAAGGATGAAACAAACAAACAAAACCCAACAAAACCAAAGCTCAGAGAGATTAAGCAATACAGTATAATATATGATACAAAATGTAAAATAATGCAGTATAAATGAAGTACTATAAAAAGTAACACGGTAGACTATAAAAGAAATAATATAAAAAGTAATATAGTATACGTGCAGTAATCTAAAAAGTATCACACAGTGTACTATAAGTGAAGTAATATTAAAATGTAATACAGTATAAGTGAAGTAATATCAAAAGTATTACACTATGCTGTAGGTTAAGGAATATAAAAAGTAACACTGTATACTATAAGTGAAATAAAAGGTTACAGTTCCAGCACTCTTAAGTCAGCAGGTAGAATGCTAGCCTAGCATGTGAAGAGTCTGATCTCTAGCATTTCACAAACCTGCTGTGGCTCACACCTGTGATCAAAGCAAGCAGGAGACTGAGGCAGGAGGATCAGAAGTTCAAGGCTGTCCTGCTAGATGTATGGAGGGCAAGGCCTGGGATACACCCGCTAAGTGATAGAGTCAGTTCCAGGAGGCAGGTGAGCAGGCAGAGTCTGCACGTCGGTAGTGTAAGGGTGGATGAGAGGCTGAGGAGAAGGTAGACTCGGGAGGTTCAAAGGTCTTACCTTTTAATTGGCTGGTCTTTTTTTTTTTTTTATTCAGCAAATACCGCTTATTATGTACATCTGTGGGGATGAACCCAGCTGCCCCCCGCCCCAGAGGTCACAGAAAAGGTGAGGCGTGTCCTACACAGAGGTAAAGGTGGCTCCTCGGAGAGTTTCCAAGCTTCACTGTGGAGCGTAGTTGAGGGACACACTGCCTCTTGTTTTTGCCAAAAGGCTTTAGGAGGCGCTCAGAAGATGTCATCAGACAAGGGAGGGGGGTTATGGAATGTGATAGAAAGTACAAGGGTGATGGCAGGACCACGCCCACGGGGACAGTGTGATGGATGATGCCCCCTCACTCTCTCAGGTAATCATTACTCGGCTCCTTCCAGGGACCCACGCCACTCACAAACACCACGCTGATGTGTGTTTTCAGTTGCTTCCAAGCTGGGCGTCTCACAGTGTCTATTATTTCTCTATTGACCTCTAGAGTTACTTTTGTTGTGATAAAATGCCTTTTGGGTAATTCTCCTGTGAGTGCTGGGATTACAGGTGTCTGCCACCACACCTTGCTTAAACTTAAGTTTGGTGTATTTATTTCCTGCGCTGCATAGCTTTTGTGAAAGAAATATATTCCCACACACTGATTTTCTTTTTGTTTGTTTGTTTTTGAGACAGAATCTCTGTATTATATAGCTTAGCCTGTCCTGGAACTCACTATGTAGACAAGGGCTGGCCTTGAACTCACTGAGATCCACTTGTTTCTGCCTCCTACATACACTTTTTTTGTTGTTGTTGTTTGTTTGTTTGTTTGTTTGTTTGTTTGTTTTAAAGACAGGTCTCATATAGCCTGGGATAGAGTTCAATGTTCTAAGTAGCTGAGGATGATCTTGAACTTGTGATCTCTGCCCTCCTATGCTTTGAGTACTGGGATCATAACCCATGTGCTGCCATGCTTGGCCCTGAAGTAGCTTATCTACTCTCATGGCTGCATGTTCTCTGTATCTGGGTTCCTTTATTTTGAGCAATGTTTCAGTGCCCATTTTCCTATGTTCTCTTATGCTCTCGTGGAGAGATGTTTTATGACTGTGCTTAGGAGAGACTATGGAATGAGTGGTTGTGCCATCTTTGAGTTCGTCATCAGCCACCTCATTGCTTCAGTAAGGTTATTTCAGCTCACATTCTGGCCAGGAGTGAATGAGAGTTCCGTTTTCTCACCAGCATGAAGCATCTGTGGGCTTGCAGGAAGCTTACTAGTGCAGTGAGGTGAAAGGGCCTCTCATGTGTCAGTGAGAGTGCTGAGATAGCCAGCAAGGCGGAATGACGAAACGGTTCGTATTCTACGGTTTCTTTCCAGGCTGATGTGTATCCAAACATACTTTCTATTGTCACTGGATTTTTCTCTTTCATATTGGTAGACATTTTTTGATATTCTACTCACCCTCACCTTTTCTCTTACTCTGGGATTTTGTTCATAATTTATATAGCTTGCTACTTGCCTAATGAAAGTTTTAAACTTCAGTGTGGTTGAATTTCCCAGCATTTCTGTGGGGATTTTTTCGTTTGTTTGTTTGCTTGTTTGCTTGGTTGATTTTTATTTTTTACAGACAGAGTTATGTTATGTAGCCCAGGCTAGACTCAAGTTTGCAACAATTCTTCTGCCTTTTTCACCTGAATGATGGGATTAAAGGCAGGAGCCACCACTCCTGGTTTTGGTTTGTATTTTTTGTGTTATGGTAATATCCCTTCTCTTAAGGGCCTAATAGCAGGGTCTAATAGCAGTTGTTTTATATTTCACTTCAAAGTTTTTAGAGTTTTGTTATGAACATTTAGACTTTAATACTAAAGTTATCCTCACAAAGGACTGTAACCTGGAAGTATTTTATGGGAAATCTGAGGGAAAGACTTAATTTTGCTTATTATGTCTTTATGAATTGTCAGTCTCAGCATCGCTTACTGAAGAATATAATCTCACTAACGTTTTCCACCATTGTCATAAATGGGAAACACATATTTACACACCTGATTTTTGGCATCTGGATTTTGTTCCCAGTTGTTTTAATATACCTTTACATTCCTCCAGGCTTACAGCAATTATATAGATATATAGTATACATATATACTTACATATATATATCATGACAAATCTTATCTGCTCATTTTTATTACTTGTGATACAAGTTTGCATATTATCCAGTTCTGTGGGACACTGTGGAATTTGGAATAGTAAATTAACACTGAAAGGCAAGCATTCAAGACTACAGTTTTTGAGCATTTGGACTTTCACTATCTGATGCCTTCCATTTGTTTATTCTTTTTGTTGTTCTTAAGTTTTTACACAAAACATCCCGGATAAATGAGTTCTTCAGAGTTTTCGTTTATCATTACTGTGTGTACACGCATGTATTTTTGGTGCATATATGTGAGCATATGTGACATGGTATACATGGGGAAATCAGAGGACAGTGCTGTGATGTTGGTCTTTCCACCCATCTTTGTGTGGGTTCCAAGGAACCAGCGCACGTGGTCAGCCTTTTATGACTGGTGCCTTTGACTTCTTGCCTCTCTGGCCCCTTAAATAAACAAGTTTTAATCCTCATCTCCTCCTCGTCATCCTGCTTCCTTTAAGTGAGGCAACTCATGCCTGTCTTCAGGGTGAGTGACTACACACAATCAGGCAGGATGCTTTTCAGGTGCTCTCACATCAAGCTCGGCTGTCTGTGTGACTGTGTACTTTTCAGTGCTGGGATCTAAGGCAGGGCCTCGGGTTCTGTCTCCAGCATCACATAGAATTGACCTGGTGGCACCTGCCTGGAATCCTAGTACTCAGACAGTGGAAGCAAGAGGATCAGAAACTTAAGGTCAGCCCTAGCTACACAGTGAGCTTGACGTGCTGTTGGCTTCGAAAACAAAATGTTGGCAATGAAGAAAACCTCGTTGTGCCCTTCCAGCTTCACATCCAGGGTACCTATTTGTCTCCAATCTAGTTTAGTCTGTTTCTGCATTCTTGGACACCGGAGGTGTCTCTTCAGGTGCCACTACACCTGGCTCGGGGCAGTGCTTCCTGTAGAACACATCACCAGTCTTTACTGCTGTCCCTGTTCTAGGGCTAGACTCACAGCTCTCAGAGGAGCTGCTGGCTTACGACAGATGTCATTTTAACCGGAGCCCTGTTTTACATGCAGAATGCTGTCCTATTTGCTTTCTGTTGCTGTGGCCAAAGCAGCTTTGGAAGAAAAAGAAAAAAAAATATTTCTTCTTATACTTTACAGTCTGTCATGACGCCAAGGCAGAAACGCACACTGCTTATGTCATGCTTCCACTACTCACCCAGCTCGCTTCCACAGCCAGGATGTGCTGCCCAGTCAGCTGGGTCTACCCACATCAGTCAATAGGTAAAATAACATCCCTGTCTTCCTTAGGATCTCTATTGCTGTGATGGCACACCATGACCAAAAATCAAGTTGGAGAAAAGGGGGTTTTATTCAGCTTACACTTCCACAGCACTGTTCATCCCTGAAGGAAGTCAGGGCAGGAACTCTATCAGGGCAGGAACCTGAAGGCAGGAGTTAATGCAGAGGCCATAGAGGGGTGCTGCTTACTGGCTTGCTTATCGTGTCTTGTTCCACCTCCATTTTCATAGAACCCAGGACCCCCAGCCCAGGGATGGCACCACCCACAATGGGCTGAGCCCTCCCCCAGCAATCATTAATTAAGAAAATGCCTTACAGCTGGATCTTATGATAGCATTTTCTCAGTTGAGATTCCCTCCCTTCAGATAACTCTAGTTTGTATGTCAAATTGGCCTAAGACCAGTCAGCACAACCCCCATGGACATGCCCACTGGCTAATACAATGGAGGAATCCTTTAACTGAGGTTTCCTTTTCTCAGGCCTGTCAGCTTCATAACCGAGACCATCAGGAGGGTCAGATTCCAAGTTGTTCCATTCAAAGCCCATACCTACCCTGGTACCAGGCTGCCTCAAGAAGCTTAAATTGTGTTTATCAGCACGTGTGACTAAGGCTGAGCACTAATTAGCACTGAGAGTGCCTGGCAGAGATTGCACGTTTTTGCCTGCCAGCTTTCTCTGGGTGGTAGGTGAACTTGCTGAATCACGGAAGTGCTCTCTGTGTTGCCTCATTGCAATGTGGGTTGTTTGTCCATTCCTTTGGATGGAGTCAGATTTTAGACACCTGGGAAAATTTTTATTGATAAACAGTCTGCACAAGAGAATCAAGTTCTTCTAGCTAAGTGGGCCTGTCTGCACACTTTTTTTTTTAATTTTTTTAATTTTTTTATTAATTACAGTTTATTCACTTTGTATCCCCCCCATAAGCCCCTCCCTCCTCCCCTCCTGGTCCCATCCTCCCTCCCCCTTCTTCACACATGCCCTCCCCAAGTCCACTGTTAGGGGAGGTCCTCCTCTCCTTCCTTCTGATCCTAGCCTATCAGATCTCATCAGGAATTGCTGCATTGTCATCTTCTGTGGCCTGGTAAGGCTGCTCTCCCCTCAGGGGGAGGTGATCAGAGAGCAGGCCAATCAGATTATGTCAGAGGCAGTCCCTCTTCCCATTACTATGTAACCCACTTGGACACTGAACTGCCATGGACTACATCTGTGCAGGGGTTCTAGATTATCTGTCTGCACACTTTTAAGGAAAAGGAAGCAATCATAGTGAAAATAGTTTAAAACTACCAGGCCTGCCATCCCAGTGCTTGGTAGGTAGAGAACGAAGGATCAGGAGTTCAAAGGCAGCCTGATTTACCTGAGACCCTGTCTCAACAGAATCTTACTTAGCTAACCAACCAATCAACCCTGCCCCCATCCTATGTGTAGGGTCCACATGTTTCTTATTTATTTTCTTTTCCTCAACAGCACAAGCTTTGCCTTGGTGTTTGTGCTCTCTGTGTGTTTTGTGTGTGTGTGTGTGTGGGGTTGCTGTTCAGTGTGCTGTTTCCCCAACATTTAGTGACACTGAGATGTGCCTCTTTGGCCTATATACAATTGTGTGGCCATATGAAATATATATATTTGTGTGTGTGTGTGTGTGTGTGTGTGTGTGTGTGTGTGTGAGAGAGAGAGAGAGAGAGAGTCTGATTGTGTAGCCCTGGCTGGTCTTCAGCTCCG